GACGATTTTGACAAGCCTGTAGGGTGAGTCAAAATACAAGTAACAAGTAACAGTACTCAGCGATATGATACAAAAATGGTCTAATAAGTTATAAATAATCCAACACGCCAAATTGTTATTTCAATGTGGGCGAAGTCTGCGGATATTTATAGGGTGTTATGAAAACTAAGACCCTCACAAACTAAGATACCAGACCTAAGACCCGTCTTAGTTTTCGAGATGACGAAAACTAAGACCCCCTAAAATCGAGCCCATCGAAATATAACGTCAAATTGTAACCAAAACAGGTCTAATCTTTCAAGTTATCTCCTGTCCGATCCTTTCCACTGAGTTTTAGGTCAAATTTAACAGTTAATGTGGGGGTCTCAGTCTTCGTAATTTCAAAAACTAAGACCCCTCTTAGTTTTCGTAATTACAAATACCAAGACCCCCTCCAAACCATTCTGCAAAATTTATACAAAGTTGAATTGTGACTCTTTAAAGACTATAGTTCATAAACAATCAACCAAAAACTACTACTAGATTTCAGGTAAATAACAAATAGGAAGGATATATTTATATAAGTTTTTTGACATGTGTTGTCTTTTTATTACATGACAGTGTACTTAGCTGAAGGTTTTTTTTTTTTAAAGACCATACATACTAAATTCCCAAAGCAATGTGGAAGAGGAGATCAAGAAGAAGGGGAAATATTATACCAGGAGAACTTTTCAATTCCGTTTTTATTGCTTTATAGATTTACTTTGGGTAAGTACAGTATTTCATGTAAAACATGTTCACTCTATCTTTTAGGACCCTCTGGATGGTGATACTCACTCTTATTCTAAAACACCTAAACCAAACAGTGCTGTCGCCAAGGTCAGAGAGACATTCGTTTCCCGATAATTTTTGCAAAACTGTCTTTTCAGCACGAGTTGAGCAAGACTCGACGCATGGTGAGAAACCAACTATTTGAGGTTTTTATGATGGGTCTCTAGAGTTCTCTTTAACTGTTTGTCGAATAATTTATCGATATTATAGGGAGAAGTTGCATGTTCATCAAATTGAATGGTTCATGGCTATATTTTGGTTGATTTTGTATTGGCAAGTCATTTAGGTTCTGTTTATTGTGGTTTCAGGTTCCATTCATAGCAAGCTACACTTGCTATGAATGAAAACTTTTGCGTTTGTAATTTACAAGTTGGACGGTTGTTTTTACAAGTGCAGGCGAAAACGAGTTTAATAAACATCGTTAGAAGTCTAGGTTACAAGTGTCCGACTTGTAATTACAGGTGTAGTGCCAGCACTACTCTTGTAGCTAGAATTCAGTAGATATCCATTTCAATAAACGTTTTACAACTGCCCAACTTGTATTTCTGAAATGATTCGACTTGTAAATTACAAGTGCAAATTTACAAGTCATAAGTCACTCGTAAAATTTGTATACAATGGTAAAAATCGTTCAGTATTGAATGAAATCATGCTCTCTTCCAGCGATGAAGAACTGGGAGTACAACAAATCATTGGTCAGCCTCGAAATTTTGAGGAAAGATGGCTGTTTGACTTTGCAGATCCACCATTTTATTTGGGCCATCTTAATGGTTCAATTATTCGCTTGCAGGGTATTTGTTAACACAACAATAAGTCGCAATATGATAACTTTTGCATTATCATTTTCTCGTGCAAGTAAACCTTTCCTTAATTTTTTTATTTCCAGACATAGTTTTGTGCCCTCTAGATGTAGTTTCTCTATTTCAATCGCGTAAGCTCTTCTACGGCCAGTTCTCCTGAGGCAGCTCTTTAATTCCCTTTGAGCCTCCTTTGCTT